AAAAAAAAAAGAAAAAAAAAAAAAGAAAAAAAAAAACTAAAAAATTAAAAATAACTAAATGAGGCAATGTAGATTACCACATTCTTACTTCTCTAAATGGGACAATGTAGATTACCACATTCTTACTTCTCTAAATAAAATCTATTCCGCATGTTCTTGATGAAAACTATTGAAAGATATAATTGGAAGAACCAGTAAATCATACCTGTGGAAATTGTCTTCTATGTGGCTATCTCCAATTGAATTGGAGAATATAGATTATTATTATCTTACTTCTAATGTAAAAAAAGCAGAATCTATATTATTTGTTTTATGATGAAAATTATTGAAAGATATACCTTGAAAAACCCATAGATCATAACTATAGAGATTATCATCTATGATAGAATCAATTGGTAGCGGCTTCGAGGCTTGTTTTTTAGTTATAACTTATCTACACCGTAAAACTGAATTGGACGATATAGATAACTACAACCTTACTTCTGTATGTAAAAAAAGTGGTATCGATATGCCATTTTAATTATGAAAACTATTAAAAGACATACCAGGAAGAACCCATGGATCATAACTATATAGATTGTCATCTATGATATAATCAATTGGAAGGTGCTCTGAGGCTTGTTTCTTAGTGAGGAAATAGGTAACGAGCTGTTCATCTGTTGGAATGAATCGAAATCCTTGGGGAAATCTCACTTTTGGTAGCCATCGATCAGGAATCTGCATCTTAGCCATTCAATCGACGAGAATCCCTCCTAAATCACCAATATGCAAAAAAATCAATATCTTCCATTTTCTCAAACAAACCCAACAGATATAAACCACAGTAAATTTACTTTACGAATTACAGACAGTCTAGTGGGTGGGAACCCAAGCTCACCTGGTTCCCACTGGTTTATTTCTTCATATTATTCTTTTTTGTTTTCTTTCTAATAATTTTTCATAGAAAATCGACATTTTGGTTCCGTTGCGGTCCGGGTTTTACAACATTGTCCTCAAATGAGGGAGATATACAATACTACATCATGTTAGGGACTCCCAAAACCGATCAGAATATGTGAACCTACCCTATCTGGTTCTTTGAGGAAATGTTATATTGAACCTAAATAATAAACCAAAGAAAAATCTATCAAAATACCCATAAAAAAAGAACTTTTTATCATTCTATCTATTTATTCCAACTCAAGGTAATCTGTTTTTTATGAGTATTTTGAAATTAAATCAGAAGACACAGGTAAGGGATTAAATTGTTAATCTCTCATGGATAATATGATAAAATTTCCTAAATTGAAAAAAAATAGAACTAATGAAAATCGAGCGAGTCCGTGGGGTCTATTCACCCGAATCGATATCCCAATGGTTTCCTTTTGAACAGGGCGATCAGCCATTGGAAATTCCTTATTCGACTGGATTGTTGTCTGCCATAACAAAAAATAGTTCACCTCAAACACTTGTTTTTGTCTGCAGTAATCCTCGATTCACCAATCCAGATCGGCAATTCACCCATCCGTGTTGATGTATACATACAACTAAAATTAAAAAATTGAACACCAGTGGAATCAGGCAATTATGGGCTTCCAAGGCCCCAATAACCCGGCTTACCGACCCGGTCCCGAGCCAAACCCATCCATATTGGGACTGGCTGGTTCTATAACCAAAATTTCTACAGGCAAAAAAAAATAATAAAAAATAAATGGTGGGAAAGTTTTCTACAGGCACCACAAAAGAAAGACAAGAAAGTTTTCTCCATAATCAAAATAAAAAAAGTAAAAAAGAAATGAAAACTACAGAAAGCATGTACAAAAGTTACCAACAAAAACGTAAAAACAAGAAAACATTGCATTCAGGAAAAAAACAAAAGAAGAGTAAAAGAGTGATCTATATAATAAAAAGAAGAAAAAAAAAAGATAAAACAAATAAGATAAAAGGGGGTGAGGTACAATACCTAGAGTCTTGAAAGTTTTCTACAGGCACCACAAAAGAAAGACAAGAAAGTTTTCTCCATAATCAAAATAAAAAAGTAAAAAAGAAATGAAAACTACAGAAAGCATGTACAAAAGTTACCAACAATAATGTTAAAACAAGAAAACATAGCATTCAAAAAAACAAAAAAAAGAAGAGGAAAAGAGTGATCTATATAATAAAAAGAAAAAAAAAAAAGATAAAACAAATAAGATAAAAGGGGGAGAGGTACAATACCTAGAATCTTGAACTGGTTATATAATTGTTTGAAAAGGTTGGAATCTCTTTGCAGAAAATAGACTTGATCTGATCTTGAGGGTTACGTTTCAGGGCTATATATAATGCATGCCATTCATGTTTAAAATATAAATTTTAGAGAGAGAAAGTTATGGAGAAGAGAGATATCCATTCCTAAGTTGATTAGAACACCTACTCCCAATACGAATAGGAGGAGAGAGAGAGAGAACGAATCTTGATAGGAATAGGAGAGAGAGAGATGTAGTTCTAGATTGACTCGGAATCGTTAGAGAGAGAGAGGAAGAGAGATGTAGAGAGAGAAAAATGTAGAGAGAGAGAACTGTAATCCCAAGTGGACTAGGATTCCTAGTCCTGTTGGAAAGGAAAAGGAGGAGAGAGAATGGGATTCTACTCCTATTGATCAGACGAAAGAGATTCTTCTTTGTAATTTTTTTTTAGTGTGGTTTGTATAGGGCCTAGGTTCTAAACAATCAAATTACAGCCTACCTTCAAATAGTATCGAGAAATGTAATTTTAATATTGTAAATCTTTATGATAGCTTTAAAATATATATTCATATTTATTTATAAAGTTTAAAGCTTTAAAAATAGTATAGATCTACAGATCTATAAAAACTTGAAAATATTAAAAATTGACAGTCCAAAAATATGTTACAAATACATTATTTCCAAAACTTGAAATACATTTTTTCTCATGTCTATGCATATTGATGTTGAGATATCGATTTGAAGATATTTGAGCATCAAAACAACCTCTTCTAGTAAAATTTTTGTTGTAGGCTCAAATCAAATTTGATTGTTTAGAGCTTCCTGTAAACCTTTGGCTTTTTTTTAGGGAAAAGTTTATATAGAGCTGAAGCTCTAAACAATCAATTAGAGCCTACTTCAAAATTTCCATTAGAAGAGGTTGTTTTGATACCTAAATATCCTCAAATAGATCATCTCGACATCAAGATGCATGGACATGAGAAAAAAAATGGATTTCAAGTTTTTGAAATGGTGTATTTTGTAACCGTATTTTTTGAGCGTCAATTTTCAAGATTTCCTAGTTTTCATAGATCTGTCGCTCTACAATATTTTTTAAGTTTTAAACTTTATAAATAGAGATAAAAATATATTTTAAAGTTATCACAAATATTTTCAATATTAAAATTACATTTTTCGATACTATTTGAAGCTCGGTGATTGTTTAGAGCCTTGGCCCCATCCAAACCGCACTTTCTTTTTTTTAATAAGAATTCATTGCTAACATTTGCAAACAAAAAAAAAAGAAAAAGAAAAGAGGAGAGAGAAATTCAATAGGAAGGAGTAAACGACAAAAGCTATCCTAGGTTTCCAAAAAAAAATTCTTACTTTTTTAAATCAGTTAATAATAACTCTAAGTTTTAAAAAAGGGTACAGTTTGTATTGAGCCTAGGCTATAAACAATAAAATTAGAACGTCCTTCAAATAGTATCGAGAAATATGGTTTCAATACTGAAAATCTTTGTGATAGCCTTAAAACATATTTTCATATTTATTTATTAAGTTTAAAGGTTAAAAAATAGTGTAGATTGATAGATCTATGAAAACTTGAAAATTGACGGTCCAAAAATGCGTCATAAAATACACAATTTCCAAAACTTGAAATCCATTTTTTTCTCATGTCCATGCATCTTGATGTCGAGATGATCAATTTGAACATATTTGAGCATCAAAACAACCTCTTCTAGTGAAAGTTTTGAAGTAGGCTCAAATTTGATTGTTTAGAGCCTCGGCTCTATATAAACTTTTCCCATTTAAAAAGGACCTGGTTTCTATGGTTTCTATGCGGCCAAGCCCGTGGGACTCTTAATAAATCTATTTAAGGAGGTTTAATCTCGAACATGGAGATCACGGATATGAATAAATAAATAAATAAATTTTAAAAATTAAAAATAATAATTCTAGTACAAAAACATTTGAACTGTTAGTTTCTATTGTTTTTGATAGAACATCTACTTACATCCATCTTTAAGATGGATGTTTTACACTTTCTGGTTCACATATATAGAATTGCGGTCCAGCCAACATGAAACAAATTTTTTTAAAAAAATATCTTCTAAAAACCTTTTTTTTTTTAAATTTTTTTTTAAAAAAAACTGATAGAAATCTACGTTTTATATTTTAAATTGTTTTTGAAAAAAACTACTTCCCTATGAATCTATTTACTTATTAACTTAATATTATTGATTTTTGGTTTAAATATAAGTACATTCTCATTAATTGTAAAATCAAGAATATTGATTTATACATTCAGAAAAATTATAGGCGTGACACCAATACGCAATAAGATGAGACAGAGTAAACTTAAGTGGATTGGTCATTAGGAGTAGCAATAGATCTGGACCCGACCCCGGACCCGACATCCAGACCGGACATAGGTCTGGGTATGGGTCAAAAAATTGGACTCGGTGGGTGAGGTCCAGGTCCATGTGAACCCGAATCGGACAATAATATTTCATTAATATTTAAATAAATATAACTATAGTCTTAATTATAATATTTAAATAATACATGCACATATTTAACATAATATTTAAATATATTTAAATGTTTTTTATTTTATTTTTTGGATCGGGTCTGGTTTTAGTCGAGTTTGGGTCGGATCTGACATGGCCTGTTGCCATCCTTACTGACCATGTATGGTGCAGACCCAGTTCAACACATGTTAGGAAGTGCGAGTTAGTTCAAGTGGAAGGTTTAAAAAAGAGCAAGGAATAGTCCCTAAACGACATGGTTGGAAGTAGTGGAAAAATATATAGGAACTTATGGCCTTACCGAGGGTATGACCCTTGATAGAGTAGAATGATGGACCAGGATTCGCATAGCTGACCCTAATTAATTGAGAAAAAATTTGACGATAATGATTTAACAAAAAAATGTCACAATAATTTTCACCAAGTAGTTCCCTAAAAAAAAGTTTAATACAAGTAATATGTTCCCCAAAAATAAGATATCAAAACAAGTAATGTGTATCAAAAGGGTGTGGTTTGTATAGAGCCTAGGCTATAAACAATCAAATTAGAGCCTACCATGAAATAATATAAAGAAATGTGGTTTCAATATTGGAAATCAGTGTGATAGCCTTAAAATATATTTTTATATTTATTTATAAAGTTTAAAGTTTCAAAAATAGTGTAGATTGACTGATCTATGAAAACTTGAAAATCTTGAAAATTGATGGTTCAAAAATGGGTTACAAAATACACTATTTTCAAAACTTGAAATCCATTTTTTTCTCATGTCCATGTGTCTTGATATCGAGATGATCAATTTGAATATATTTGGGCATCAAAACAACCTCTTCTACTGAAACTTTTGAAGTAGGCTCAAATTTGATTGTTTAGAGCCTTGGCTAAACTTTTCCCATATCAAAATAATAGGTAGAGTTAGAAGAGGAACCCAATGAAATTTTTTTCTCTTTAAACCCAGAGCGTTCTTATAAAGAGCAAGAGAGATCCGATAATGCTAAAGAATTAGGCAACTAAGGATTCAATGTGAGATTCGAATATTCGTAGTCATTTTGTTGCTTTTCATTATGCATAGATAAGTTTGATTAATTTTATATTTATAATTTTTATTTCATTGGAGTATATAACGTAGCATTTTTAATGGACTATATTATTTTAAATGTTTGAATCTTTGTGTTTTTTTAGTTAACTGCAATCTTATGCTAATGATCTTTTGTGTTTTTTTGTTTGAACAATAATCCTATACCTTGGTTTAATATTCTTATTTATTTAGTAATTCAGTTCTAGTGTTTAGTGTGGTCGTTTCTATTTCATTTTATACTTCCAATAAATTTGTGATATCTTTTATATTATTGTGACAAAAAAGTAAGTAATGTTGTTGGATTTATTGAAAGTTTAGACAAAAAATTGTCAGGTATTATTCTAATGACACAAGGTTGGGCCAATAAATTATTGTTCAATGATTTTGTATTTATACAATAACTGTAAATCATAATCCTATATTCTATCATCTCTACATATCTGATTTTTTCACTATATTTTCTTTGAGCTAAATTTAAAAT